ATCCAGAACAAGCTTTAACTATTAGCAAAGAATACCCACAGTGTACTCTAATTGCTATTAGACTAAACTATCCAAGTTCGCCTACAATAAAGCGCCGTGGCTATAGGCAACCAACTCTGCACATAAGAACATTTTTCCCGAAGGCCTGCAAAGTCACTTGAGCGTATTTTCTTCAAAGTGCAAAATGGCTATTGGCTGCACTCGTCCGTCCGTCCGCCCGTCACACGTACTACTTCTACACAACTGAACCGGATTGGGCGATATGGGGCTCATTTGAAAGGGCTTGAAGCAAGGATTCCGTGCGTACAGACATTTTTGGTTTTGCGCATGCGCAGTGTCAAAAAATTTGGTTTAACGCATGTGCAATACTAACTTTTTTATTTATTAAGATATTTAGATGAAACTTTATATGTACACACTACGAATATAAGTAAAACTAACGACCTTTTCAAATTATTGTTTTGCGCATACGCAGTGCCAATTTCATTATTATTAGTTCACTATCATAGATAATTAAGAAATAACCAATAGGAACCAAGGTACTTGCTAACCAATGAAACCATCCTGAGCTTAGTGAAATAATGATAATGATTGTATAAACCCACCATTCATAGGAGAAAAATACGCTCTCGTCATTTATGTTTACATAATAAAAAGAGAAAAAAATCATCAAATGAGCCTAATGAAAAGGTGCACTGCTATTAAAAAAAATTCAATTGTTTTTCGTTACTCATTTGTTTTCTGAAATAAAAACAACTGAATGCTGCTTTATTATGGGAAAATGTTAAACAACTTTCATATCGAAAAATGATGTATATATTCGATATTTACCGAGATATATATACTATATTCCATACATAATGGGCACCCTGTATACCCATCCACAACTGAAAGTGTAAAGGCTCTAGTCTAGTCCAAGAAGTGCCTCCATGGTCAAAGTTGGAGTTGTTTTTTTATTGGCCTATTTCTCCATAGTGTGTTGTCTTTTACTTTGCATGCTGTTATGTTCTTCGAGATACTTGGTCCACTGCATGCACATAATATCATTGTCCTTTTGAAGCCATACTTGTATTTTCTGGCTGCACATTGCTTTCCCCCGAAAGTTTTCCATGCGGTTGGTTTTAGCCATGCTACTGATGTGATCATAGAATTGATCCAGGCTTCTGTTTCTTCAGTACCTTTTATTACTAGTACTGCTGCACCCATTTCCAATTTTGGTAACGTCGATTTGGTAGGTAGGTACTTGCTGGTGGACTTGTCTTCTGCATTGAACCCCCTTAGCCACTGTTGCTTCTTCCATTTCCCTGTATTTAGATAGTTGGTTTTTTTCTTCCATTGTTGATACCATGCCCAATGTTTGACTGCTTTGGTAGGTACCACCATAGTATGTACCACGTACGCTTTGTTTGCCCGCACATTATCCAACCAATTCGGTTTGTTGACCCAACAATTCGTCTTCGCTTTCATGACTTCAGGTAGCATGATCTAGGGGTATTCCTCTGTCTCCAGAGAACGAATGCCATTTACCAATGCAAGAACTCCGATCTAAAATATGATAAAGAGTACACTTGCATCTGTCATTGTAATCGGTCCATCCGTTTTCAAGAAATCGTGGTAACGGACTGACACCGCAAAATTATGAACTCGCTAGTAGCTCGATAATAATAATTGTTTTTAGATGAATTGGGGTTGTGAGTGTGCAAATTTGGAACTAAATTTGTGAATGTTCGATTGCAGTCCTGAATTAATAGGTATAGGTACTTACTTGAAATAAGGGTTTGTATCAAATTAAAAGTACCTAGGAGCGAAAGCGATTTCATACAGCTAGAGCAAATTATTTGGATGTAGAAGTTAATATACAAAGCTATTTATTAAGAAGTAGACATATTGATTTATTAATATTGCTTTTCCCTATGTCTACTTTCAAAAGACAAAATCCTTCGCCTAATTTTATGCAACCAAAATCACTTCTTAAAATCAAATTATTTTGTGTTTTTATATTCGTTCGTGTGCGATGTATTCAACTGATGAAGAAGTTGATATAGTCAATTGGTATAGTGCTGGTAACAGTTTAAAGAACGGTAGAGATTCATTTTCTCTTGAGCCAAAGCAACAATATTCAAATATAATTAATATGGTACAGTCAGGATGTTTGTTTTAAAAAGTTATTTTGGATGCATAAAATTAGGCGCCCTTCAGATGATGTCTTTTGAAGGTAGACATAGGGAAAAACAGTATACATCAATCCCTAGCTATGTCTACTTCTTAATAAATAGCACTGTATTATGGTCTGCAGTTTTTAATAAAACAAAAGGTGTCTCACAAATCAATCAGATCATGGTTCAATAGGTAGGTGCGATTACGTCAAGGGCACAAAATTTAATTCAAGAAATTGTGATCAACAAAACGTGTATAATCATACTAATAAGGTGTTATGCAAATTAGGCCCATGCATTGTGCATCGCAATATCCAATCCGTGCGTGAAAACCACTTATTTTTCGGCGAGGAGATTGATTACGCAATTGAGAAATTGCGTTTGTAAATGAAAATAGTAAATAATAACATTCAGCGATACCCAAAGCACACGTGTTAGGCAATATGAAAACTGATACATCAGTCAATGCATCTTTACTTTTTGCAACAATAAATTAGTGTATAATAAATATAATACAAATTTAATACTGATGGTTTCCTCAGAAGTTGTTTTTGTTTAATAGTTGGCTTCTACGTACTCGTAGTCAGAATTTCCAGGGTTCAGCTTTTTTAAGAGCAGTTGTAGTGGGGGAGTATCATATCCCTGAAAATAAATAAACATTAGATAGACCATTACAAATATATTATGTTGTTGCAAAACTTTTTGACTTATGACCCCAGAGTACATTGTCCGTCACCTAGCCACGAATAAACCCTGTGCCCGAGAAATTCCTTCCAATGACGAAGTCTAAATAAAGATTTTTTCCACCCCGCGATTTACATATTTTGCACTTGCGATAAACTAATGAATCTGTTTTGCAAGTGATGAATTTCATTAGCATACATAAAAGTTTTTGATACCTACGTGTGCCCTGTCCTTATCTTTCCAGTGCATGATGGTGTCGAGCTCTGAAGTGATGGGTTGGCCTCTGGGTTCTCTAATTGAAATACTATTTTAAATATTTTAAAAAACCCGACAGAAAAATACCTTTCATTGTCCAGCGCTGGCAGTGCCCGTTTTGCCTGAACTCCTCGACAAACTGGTGCGTACACATACTTTCTGAAAGATCAAGTTCGAAAAAGCAAATTTCGACATTTGAGCTCACCTGCAGTTGACTTTCTTCGTTTGAAAACTGTTCGAAATGAGGCCGAAAATGATCAAAAGCAAAAATATGGCAGTCGCCTTTTGTGTATACTCCATAAAACTGCAAGAATAGACTATCTTATTAAAGTTTACACTGAGATTGCATCAGATTTTGACGTAGATTTGCGTGGAAGTGCATACCTTTTTCCTTTGAAATCGCTCAAAATGTTACTTAATTAGTTCCAAACTACACACACATCAGACACTTAACTTGCCGATACTAAAATTGTAAACTGAATCTCGCGCTTATATTGGAAGTGCCGCGTCCTGCGCAATCGGACGGACGGACACCGCCGCGACGGTAGCAATAATTTAAAACTAAACTACTTTATGGGGTGTTTAATGTACACTGATAGTGTAACAAATAGGTAGTCGCTATTAGTATATAAATTAAGGTCGATGAGTTATTGTAGACTGCAATTTTAAAGAATGTGACATAAGATTTGAACGTAACAGGTTTGTGGGTATTTTGCAATCGTGTAGGTGAACGAAAAAAGTTGTAAGAGAATTTTAATTTCGGAAATTTTGTCAGACTGATCCTCGTGTTATTTCGAGGTTTCTTTGGGGTTTGGGAGCCTAGGAACAGTCGGCCATTTCTGTTACTTTTGCATTGTATTGTGCGTGGGAGGGTAAAGCACTGTAGCATCCTCAAAAGATTTTTCTGCCGCCCTTATTACTATTATCAGGGCAGCGAACCCACGTTCGTAATTACCCGAATCCAGACTGTGATTGATCTCAGTCTGGCATCATCTTTCTGAGACCACATTAAGAACCCACAGAAGCGACTATGTCAGATCATAGAATAATTTCATTTCATATTAACTGTAAGGGAGCCGTCCAAAAGGTTTATCGCAACCCTAAGGTAACGGATATTCCCTTTTAAAAACATCTCCTTGGAGAAAAACTTAGAGAGCACCCTTTACGGGGACACCTCCCGGGTTCTGCCGACTTACAGAATAAAGTAGATCTTACACCAACTCCATTGTGGAGTCATTTGAACAGGAATGTCGTCTCAGGACTGCCAAGGCGCCCTGTTAACCATCCTTGGTGCTGCAGGACGCTCGAGAAGCAGAAAAATCAGTTGGGCAAGCTGTTCAATTAGGCAAAGTAGGGCAAAGCTATAGCCGACGAGGAGGCTATAACGTAAACCTAAAGCCGTATAAGAAGGATTATTAGGAGGCGTCAGAGACTAGATAGGTATTAAAGAGTTTTTGCAGTTCACCTCCTCTGCATCCCGCCTAAATAAAATTCTAAAAAAGGTTCAGACTATATCCCAGCTATAGCCTCAGACGAGAGAATGTTCCATACCATACCCCAACTGTCCGGAGAAGGAGTGGGCGGTTGGATGGACTGACGGTGGATGTTGCGAAAAACACTTTTTTTTATTAATTTAGCTTCGTAGATTCCAAAACGCTTCGTATTTTGTCGATTGGACCTCTGAATCAAAAGTTGCAGCCAAAAAACCTACTTCGAAAAAAATCAAAGGGCTGTAACTTTTGATCTAGTAGCCCAATCTTGGAACTGTTTGAAATTATGGATTCTACAGGCCACGTTCTGTAAGAAAATTTTTTTCCGGGTCGATCTGAGACAATTTTTTTTGAGGCCCGAAAAAAAAGGCAGTGTAAACCTTCCTTTTTTCCAAAAATCGACTGTACCAAAATTTCTCGGGAAAACACTTTTTCTTATTAATTTTGGTGCGTAGAATCCAAAACAATTCGTACTTTTTCGATCAGACTTCTCAATCAAAAGTTATAGACTAGAAATCAATTTCGAAAGAAAATTCAAAGGGCTGTAACTTTTGAACTAGTAGCCCAATCTTGGAACTGTTTGAAATTATGGATTCTACAGGCCACATTCTATAAGAAAATTTATTTTCCGGGTCGATCTGAGACAATTTTTTTTTCGCGCCTCAAAAAAGGCAGTGTATAAACTTCCTTTTTTTTACCAAAAATCGACTACACCAAAATTTGTCGGGAAAACACTTTTTCTTATTAATTTTGGTGCGTAGAATCCAAATCAATTCGTACTTTTTCGATCAGACTTCTCAATCAAAAGTTATAGACTAGAAACCAATTTCAAAAAAAAATTCAAAGGGCTGTAACTTTTGAACTAGTAGCCCAATCTTGGAACTGTTTGAAATTATGGATTCTACAGGCCATTTCCTTAAAGGGCAGTTGATAATGTGCAATTTCATGTAGGATTTGTAGACCAATTGTACTTCAATGATCCAGTATTTGGAAATTGTCTTGTGTATGCAATTTGTATATTTGCGCCATCTCTTTTGTAATCCCTATACTTTTTCCTTATTATTTTCTTGTAATAGTTGAACCAGTTCCAATGAGATGTCGCCACGTACGAAATTATCTTCACAAGAACATTTTAATTTATGCACTTAATAGCCACGTCCGACTCAATTTTCCTTAAAGGGCAGTTGAAAATGTGCAATTTCATGTAGGATTTGTAGAGCAATTGTACTTCAATGATCCAGCATCTGTAATTGTCTTTTGTGAATGCAATTGGTACATTTGCGCCATCTCTTTGGTAATCCCTATACTTTTCCTTATTATTTTCTTGTAATAGTTGAACCAGTTCCAATAAGATGTCGCCACGTACGTAAATACCTTCACAAGAACATTTTAATTTAAGCACTTAATGGCCACGTCCGACTCAATTTTCCTTAAAGGGCAGTTGAAAATGTGCAATTTCATGTAGGATTTGTAGAGCAATTGTACTTCAATGATCCAGTATCTGTAATTGTCTTTTGTGAATGCAATTGGTACATTTGCGCCATCTCTTTGGTAATTCCTATACTTTTCCTTATTATTAATTATTAATAGTTGAACAAGTTCCAATGAGATGTCGCCACGTACGAAATTATCTTCCAACGAACATTTTAATTTATGCACTTAATAGCCACCTCCGACTCAATTTTCCTTAAAGGGCAGTTGAAAATGTGCAATTTCATGTAGGATTTGTAGAGCAATTGTACTTCAATGATCCAGTATCTGTAATTGTCTTTTGTGAATGCAATTGGTACATTTGCGCCATCTCTTTGGTAATCCCTATACTTTTCCTTATTATTTTCTTGTAATAGTTGAACCAGTTCCAATGAGATGTCGCCACGTACGTTAATACCTTCGCAAGAACATTTTAATTTAAACACTTAATAGCCACGTCCGACTCAATTTTCCTTAAAGGGCAGTTAAAAATGTGCAATTTCATGAAGGATTTGGAGAGCAATTGTACTTCAATGATCCAGTATCTGGAATTGTCTTTTGTGTATGCAATTGGTACATTTGCGCCATCTCTTTGGTAATCCCTACACTTTTCCTTATTCTTTTCTTGTAATAGTTGAACCAGTTCCAATGAGATGTCGCCACGTACGTAAATACCTTCACAAGAACATTTTAATTTATGCACTTAATAGCCACGTCCGACTCAATTTTCCTTAAAGGGCAGTTGAAAATGTGCAATTTCATGTAGGATTTGTAGAGCAATTGTACTTCAATGATCCAGGAGCTGGAATATGTCTTTTGATGTGTATGCAATTGGTACATTTGCGCCATCTCTTTGGTAATCCCTATACTTTTACTAATTATTTTCTTTTAATAGTTGAACCAGTTCCATTGAGATGTCGCCACGTACGTAACTACATTCACAAGAACATTTTAATTTATGCACTTAATGGCCACGTCCGACTCAATTTTCCTTAAAGGGCAGTTGAAAATGTGCAATTTCATGTAGGATTTGTAGAGCAATTGTACTTCAATGATCCAGTATCTGGAATTGTCTTTTGTGTATGCAATTGGTACATTTGCACCATCTCTTTGGTAATCCCTATACTTTTCCAAATTAATTTCTTGTAATAGTTGAACGAGTTCCCATGAGATGTAGCCACGTACGTAACTACATTTAAAAGAACATTTTAATTTATGCACTTAATAGCCACGTACGACTCAATTGTCCTTAAAGGGCAGTTGAAAATGTACAATTTCATGTAGGATTTGTAGAGCAATTGTACTTCAATGATCCAGTATCTGGAATTGTCTTTTGTGTATGCAATTGGTACATTTGCGCCATCTCTTTGGTAATCCCTATACTTTTCCTTATTATTTTCTTGTAATAGTTGAACCAGTTCAATGAGATGTCTGCCACGTACGTAGATACCCTTCACAAGAACGTTCTAATTTAAGACTTATGGCCACGTCCGACGTCAATTCTTCCTTAAAGGGCAGTTGAAAGTGTGCAATTTCATGTAGGATTTGTAGAGAATTGTACTTCAATGACTCCAGTATCTGGAATTGTCTACTTTTTGTGTATTGCAATTGGTACATTTGCGCCATCTCTTTGGTAATCCCTACACTTTTCCTTATTATTTTCTTGTAATAGTTGAACGAGTTCCAATGAGATGTCGCCACGTACGTAAATACCTTCACAAGAACATTTTAATTTAAGCACTTAATGGCCACGTCCGACTCAATTTTCCTTAAAGGGCAGTTGAAAGTGTGCAATTTCATGTAGGATTTGTAGAGTAATTGTACTTCAATGATCCAGTATCTGGAATTGTCTTTTGTGTATGCAATTGGTACATTTGCGCCATCTCTTTGGTAATCCCTATACTTTTCCGAATTATTTTCTTGTAATAGTTGAACCAGTTCCATTGAGATGTCGCCACGTACGTAAATACCTTCACAAGAACATTTTAATTTAAGCACTTAATGGCCACGTCCGACTCAATTTTCCTTAAAGGGCAGTTAAAAATGTGCAATTTCATGTAGCATTTGTAGAGCAATTGTACTTCAATGATCCAGTATCTGGAATTGTCTTTTGTGTATGCAATTGGTACATTTGCGCCATCTCTTTGGTAATCCCTACACTTTTCCTTATTATTTTCTTGTAATAGTTGAACCAGTTCCAATGAGATGTCGCCACGTACGTAAATACCTTCACAAGAACATTTTAATGTATGCACTTAATAGCCACGTCCGACTCAATTTTCCTTAAAGGGCAGTTGAAAATGTGCAATTTCATGTAGGATTTGTAGAGCAATTGTACTTCAATGATCCAGTATCTGGAATTGTCTTTTGTGTATGCAATTGGTACATTTGCGCCATCTCTTTGGTAATCCCTATACTTTTCCTTATTATTTTCTTGTAATAGTTGAACCAGTTCCAATGAGATGTCGCCACGTACGTTAATACCTTCGCAAGAACATTTTAATTTAAACACTTAATGGCCACGTCCGACTCAATTTTCCTTAAAG